TCATCATCATCATCATCATCATCATCATCATCATCATCATCATCATCATCATCGTCATCATCATCAATGGGTTTTTAGAAATTGGATAAATTGATATTGTTTAAACGGTCCCGTCGACACTGGCGTGTTCTGCGTGCAACGACAAAGAGCTCGCTAACAATATAGGAATCGGCCAAAAATGAGATACATGTAAAACTAAATAGAGTCGAACTTGCTCTAACGGACACATGTATAAAACAACCATCCGTACAAACAGCCACTTCCTGTATTCCCCCTTTTCGTTTTGTCTAAGACAACCGCGTTTTTCCTCGACAGTGGATGGCTATCTCAAACACAATTTCCAGTAATTTCTACTGTATTACTCTCAAACCAACAGCAATATCGATGTATCCAAAGGCTATAAAATTATAGGTGTATGGGTCCTTGAGTATATATATCACAATAAAATACGTACACTTAAGCCAGCTGAAACTCTTCAGTACAGAACGAGATAGCTGGATGATCGGTAACACATGGGACAGATTGTGATAATATGACTCATCAATAAACACTTACAATATTCACCAACAACAGATTTCAAGGTTCAGCTTACCTGATATTTGAGCTTCGGAGAACTGGTTTTGAGACTGAAAGAGAAAGCAACTTAGCTTGATTAACAAATTTTAGAAAATACAGTAACAACTAGTAACAAGTAATAAGCGTATTGTCGACAAAATAGATAATCATTACAATCCGTATACCTATAATATTAATCATTTATTATATAGGTATACGGATTGTAATTATTATCTATGTTGTCGACTGCATAGAGTCCCCTGTGTTTCTGTGTGTAATTTTGTCTGAGACAAGCTTACTCGTGGTGCTAATGGTAAATTTGTGGGGAAGGAAGGGAGGGAATTGTTGTTGTCATGTTTGGGTGTGTTCCTATGAGTTGTGCTTTTTTGGTAGTATTATTGTTTTGGCTTTATGTGTGTTCATGTCTGCGTGTGTGTGTGTACTTGTTAGTGAGTGTATGTGTGTGTGTGTGTGTGTGTGTGTGTGTGTGTGTGTGTGTGTGTGTGTGTGTGTGTGTGAGAGAGAGAGAGAGAGAGAGAGAGAGAGAGAGTTAAGCAAGCTAAAAAATAGCTACATAAGAGAGCCACTACTAGGTTTCCTGATTATCAAAATATTTACTTGATATGCTAGAATTAAAGTTATCCTTAAGCAATTGTATTCCTCACAGATATTTTATGTACCGTTCAAATCAAGTCCAGGAACGAAATTTGATGCTGGTCTACATTAACAACAACAGCAACGGCAACAGCAACGGCAACAGCAATAACAACAAGGATAACAAAAACAAAATCTTCCAAATAATAGCCTACAGCTATACATAATAGATATTTGACCCATATTAATGTTTTACATACCATTTTCTTTAACAAGTAGGCCTACAAGCGAATCCACAGAAAGTTTTTTTTCCCACTTTGAAGTTTTCGGCAACACACACGTATAGACGCCGCGAGTATTCACATCACAATACGTGTGTATAGGCTCATCAAAGACTCGATGGTTAGTTATCTCCTCTCACAACCCGCCTCTCACTCTAGCTGTTTATCAGTCCATTGATAGCCGGTGTACGATTCATCTGTGTGCGCTCTGGTGTCGTTGTGTTGGGCTAACTATAATACACACTGACTTCTCCGTAAAGTTATCACTGTGGGGATGGGTGTGGGGTGGGTTGGTTACAGCAATTGTCTAGGACAGACAGAGATAAGATCTAATTCTCTGTGGTCTAATCTATTCAAATGAGGTGAGCGTGGCGAAGAGGAAGAAAACGTTACACGGTGGGGCTCTTTGTAACACACACACACTCACACACGCACACACACACACACACACACACACACACACACACACACACACAGGGAAATGATTTTTGCACTATACTTGAGGA